GACTTTGGGAAATATCAGGGGTCTAAACAGACCCCTGGCATTTTCTTTTTGAAATAGAAAAAGAAATTGAGGACGCAGCACTCAATGAATGGAAAGCACTCATTACAGAGGCTTCCCATTCATAACTGGTGATGGTAAAACATTTATTATTATTCAGTTATGAATGGGTAGAAGCCTCTATTCTGGATAGCCTTCCACCTATTAAGAAACTAATGAATGAACAGAAAGTGATGTAAAGCACTTCCTATTCATTCATAACTGGGAACACAGTACTATTTGTCCCCAGCTGTTTACAAACATTGGATTGGTCAGCTGATCACGCCAGTGTTTGCTCTGCACACAGGATCAGTAAATATCACAGATATATTTACTGATCCTCCACTTGGCCATGCACTATCACAGAGCCGCAGGCGATCCTGGATTTGACAGCTGGCGCGTATGATCTTCTCCTGACATGCAGCGCTCCCTCCTCCAGCCCCCCACCTGCCGGCCATTTCTCCTCTGATCCCCGCTGCCTGAGCCCATACAGGCGAGGGATCCAAGGAGAAATAGATCCCAGTCTGGAGCAACCATGAGCTTATAGCAGAACAGTAAAAGACACCAACATAAGGCTTATTGAGCTGGCCAGCTGAAAGCAGTTTTCTTCCGCCGTAAGCCTTACATCGGTGGCAACGAAAGGGTTGAAGCTGCTGCCAATTCCAGCCCTAAAGGAGATCCCTTTTATCAAACCTTATATTTGGTTATAGTATCTTGAGTCCAATCAAAACCTTATCTAATCCTAACCCCTGATAAGGGGGAAATTCTTTGAATACTCTGTGCTCATTGGCACATGGGTTGAGGGGCTGGAGGTGTTTTTAGGATAATGTTAACCTTTCCTTTAAATAATTTCTTGTTAAAATAAATAAAGTCAGATTATAGAAGACAATATTTAATGTTTTGAAAAATCTAGAATTTAATTTTGTATATATTTGGTGTACAATGCCAAACATGAAAATAAGATGGTTTGTAATGCTAAAATAAAGTCTAAAATGCAATATTAAATATGTCTGAAAAAAATCTAATAAATTATGTTAAAATACAAATTTAATTTATTTCATGTTTGACATTTGTGTGTCTTTCTGATACTCTAGTGCATTTAAATATAAGCCCTTGATATGAATCCTTTAGTGATCACACTCCTTTGGATCTCCCTAGCCACTTCCTGGTGAACTCTCTGTCCTGAATCTCAGAGCAGATACTGCTGACCCAGCTCACTCATACAGCAGGTGAAGAGAGAGCCAAAAAAAAATCTGATAATGCAGATCAATTAAGTTTTTATTAAAAAATATAAAACCATAAAATGTTTTTAAAAGTTCATATGTCTATGCCTGCTGAGGTCACTAATGCGGACTCCGCCCCGCACATTTTGGCCAATAGGCTAGAATTGCAATGTCTTTACCATAATTAAATAGTAAAATATATGCATAGCCCATAAGGGGGAAATGCATAGAAATCCTCTATTGCAAACATTAAACAAATTATTGAATGTCATAGGTCATACATAAACTCCTTAGAGATATCAAGGCACCTGTTTAAATGTTTTTATTCTATCTCTGCTAACTATTCGTGATAAAACAAGGAATGTATCAAGTTGATAGATCCACTTAGTCTCAGTTCAGAGACTTTATTTCAGCCACGCCAATATGTCCCAATCTATTGATCCCTATACACTTCAGATCACTAGGTATTTTATTGTTCATCTTTGCAAAATGCAATGAGACACTGTATTTAAACGCTTTTGGTATCAGTAGACTGTTTAGCAGTAGCAGCATAGCTTGTCATCCTTCTTTTGAGGATACTTTAACCACAAAAACACACCAAAAATGCATGTACATGTGTTTTATGTGCTCCCATTAACATCTCTGGGGCCACAAAATGCACTGTGTAGCACCAAACGAAGCACCAGCACCATTCCCAAACATCACAAAGTTTAATTGCGGTGAATGGGCACCATTAAGAACCATATGATTTCCATTGTTGTGCTGTGCAGCGTGACAGCAGACACAGGATAAATTGCACAAGTGCTAATGGGGCTTAAACTGGTTTCTTGAAAGTGTTTTACCAGTGAAGGCAGCTGACGGGTATGAAATATGAAGATTAATTATCTGATTACAGACAGACTGGTCTGTACTGCCTTTTATATCTGCATTACTTTGAGCTCCTAGGGCTTGAGTTAAAGGGAGTTTTTTTGTTTTTTCAGCGGAAAAAGTAAATGAGAACCTGAAAGAACTGACCCAGCAAGTGAACCCAGGGGATGTTGTCAGTGTTCCTGGAATCCGGAAGGCTATGGGAATCATCACGCCATATGTAGACACAGAAGAGATGGTGGTGGATCTGACAACAGGTTTGTTTCCTTTTTGATATTGATGTTTTTGTTTTTTTGTTACCCTCACTGGTAAAATTTCTCCCCCTCACTGCATTCCAATTTCTCACGTGTGTATGTGTGTAATATACACACATACATATTCTGTCACACACAGTGTGGAAAATAATTATTTCATCCCCTGCAGATTTTGTAAGTTTGCCCACATACAAAGAAATGAAAGGTCTATCATTTTTATCATGGGTGTATTTTAAATGATAGAGACAGAATATCAACCAAAAATCCAGAAAAAACACATGATACAAATTAGGGCTGCAACAACTAATCGACATAATCGATTATAATCGATTATTGAAAAAGTTGTCAACTTTTTCAATCATCGATTAATCGGCTTCCGATTGGTTGGCTCTGTTCACGGCTCCACATGCTGCACGCCACACCTCCTCCTCCCCACCTCATGTTTGCCGCTGCCAGACCCGCCCGCATCCATACGCCACACCTCCTCCCTGCCTCACGCTCACCGCCCAAATCCACAATTGGCACAGGGACGCGGGGAGAAGAAGTAAGGAGGAGGAGGTGTGGGGGGCATGACAGCTACTGATAGACAGGCCCGATCTCAGAAACAAGTTGCTGGAAGACTGCTCAGGTAAGCCTGCACTTTCCCACACAGGCTGCTCTATAATGTATTGCTGGGATTTGTAGCGCTCTATAGCTGATGGTACATTGTGCTGTATATTATACCATGAGCTATAGAGGACTACAATTCCCAGCAATACATTATACACTGTATGTATAATGCATTGCTGGGATTTGTTGTATTCCTATATAGCTGGTGGTATTCTGCAGTGCACTGTATAGAGGACTACAAATCAAGGAATAATACATTATACAGCGTAATGCGGAATACCTCCAGCTATAGAGGAGTACAACAAATCCCAGCAATAGTACATTATACAGTGGTGCAATGCGGAATACCACCAGCTATAGAGGAATACAAAACCCAGCAATAGTACATTATACAGCGCAATGCAGAATACCGCCAGCTATAGTGTACTATTGCTGGGATTTGTTGTACTCTATAGCTGGTGGTATTCTGCATTACGCTGTATAATGTACAATTGCTGGGTTTTGTAGTCCTCTATAGCCGATGCCATTCTGCATTAATTGCTGTATAATTTTACACTTTTCATTTCACTATATTGCACACCACACTTTTTTCTTTTTTACTTCTACCGCTCCAAGCTTGCTCCTGTGATGGACTACAATCTCAATACAAACTAGTAGTCCATCACTGGAGCCATTTTGTTTAAAAACATTTTTTTTTATCCGATTAACCGATTAATCGAACTTAATAATCGGCTAACTAATCGATTTTGAAAATAATCGTTAGCTGCAGCTCTAATACAAATGTTATAAATTCAGTTGCAGTTCAGTGAGGAAAATAAGTATTTGATCCTCACCCAAAACATGACTTAGTACTTGGTGGAGAAACCCTTGTTGGCAAGCACAGAGGTAAGACATTTCTTGTAGTTGGTTACCAGGTTTGCCCACATCTCTGGAGGGATTTTGGTCCACTCTACTTTACAGATCTTCTCTAAATCCTTAAGGTCTCTTGGCTGTCGCTTGGCAACTCCAATGTTCAGCTCCATCCATACATTTTCTATAGGATTTAAGGGCCGGAGACTGGCTAGGCCACTCCATGATCTTAAAATGCTTCTTGAGCCACTGCTTTGTTGCCTTAGTGATATGTTTTGGGTCATTGTCATGCTGAAAGATCCACGACCCATCTTCAGTGTTGTGGCTGAGTGAAGGAGGTTCTCATCCCAGATTTTTCAATACATGGCCCCGTCCATTGGCCCCTCAACCCTCAACGCGGCAAAGTCCACCTGTACCTTTTGCAGAGAAACAGCCCCAAAGCATAATGTTTCCACCTCCATGCTTGACTGTAGGGATGGTGTTCTTAGGCTCAAAGTTGGCATTTTTCTTCCTCCAAACACAGCGAGTCGAATTAATGCCAAAGAGCTCAATTTTGGTCTCATCTGACCGCAGCGCTTTCTCCCAATCCTTCTCTGAATCATTTAGATGTTCATTGGCAAACCTCAGACGGGCCTGAATATGTGCCTTCTTGAGGGGGGGGACCTTACGGGCGATGCAGGATCTCAATCCATGACGATGTATTTTGTTACCAATAATTTGTTTTGGTGACTGTGGTCTCAACTGCCTTGAGATCATTCACAAGCTCCTCCCGTGTAGTTCTGGGCTGATCCCTCACTTTTCTCATGATCATCCTTACCCCATGAGGTGAAATCTTGCATGGAGCTCCAGACTGATGGTTATTTTGTATTCCTTCCATTTACGAATAATTTCTCCAACAGTTGTTTCCTTCTCGCCAAGCTTCTTGCTGATAGTCTTGTAGCCCATTCCAGCCTTGTGCAGGTCTACAATCTTGTCTCTAACATCCTTTGACAGCTCTTTGGTCTTGCCCATGGTGATGAGGTTTAAATGGAAGAAAGAGATTCTGTGGACAGGTGTCTTTTATATACATAACGAGTTGTTGTTAGGAGCACCTTTTTAAATTGACAGGACTAATCTGTGTACCACATAGCCAGTCTGTGGGAGCCAGAATTATTGTTGGTTGGTAGGGGGGTCAAATTTTATTTTCCTCACTGAACTGCAACTCAATTTATAACATTTGTATCATGTGTTTTTTTCTGGATTTTTGGTTGATATTCTTTCTCGATCATATTAAATACACCTATGATCAACATTATAGACCTTTAATTTCTTTGTAAGTGGGTAAACTTACAAAATCCCTAAGAATGAGATGATGCGTGGACCTATATGGGTTGGACTTGATGGACGTATGTCTTTATTCAACCCCAAATACTATGTATGTGTTATATAGAGTTATCCCATACGTTGTACCATCATTTTCCTGGCTCCTCATGCCAGCCTACTATGGGTCAACTGCCCTCTTGACCCCTTTTAGGTGGGAACGCATGGCTGACATGAGGAGGAGCCAGAAAAGGAAAATGACAGTAAGTATGGGATAACAATTTACCATATTCCTGGCTCTTCTCATGTCCGCCTACTATGGGATGTAAAAGCAATATCAAGTGAGAGAATAAAAACCCAGTACACCATTATACTGCCAAAACAAAAAGAAATAGGTTTATTTAGTAAGAGCAGCAGATAGCACTGAGACTCCCAGCATGCTCTCTGGACTGAACCTAACGGCTAACTTACAATGACATAGAAAGGTGTTTTGGTGTACTCCAACTTGCAGCTTTACAAATCGTATCCACTTAGTTTGATGGCATCTGACGATCCTAGCAGGCTTGCACCTGCTGATCTAAGCACAATGCTCCCCAACCCTTGCTGCTGGCATCCGTCGTCACAGTAATCCAGTTGCCCCTCTGCGGAGTCCTGCCAGGGGACAAGTTGGTAGTCGGAGTGCACCACCTCAGAGATTCTCGAACTACCGCAGGAAGCAGAATCCTCTGAGTAAGGGACGAGCGATCCCATTGTTGCAGGAAATTGACCTGAAAAACTCTCTTGTGCAATCTGGCTCATGGCACCACTGGAATGGTGGATGTGAGGGGACAGAAGCTTCATGCAATCTCTCGCCGTCAGATGAGGAGTGGCTGAAATAATAAGCGATGAAACCTTGTCTTGAACCACTCTTATTTTTCTGATGGTATAAAGGCCTTCGCTTTGACTGTATTGAAGATTGCTCCCAGACACTCTAACCTTTTGAGCAGGCTTTAACATGCTTTTCTCTCTGTTGATCAACCAGACAAAACTTTCTGGGGAGTTGAGCACTTGATCTTAATGCTTAACTGCCTCAGCCCAAAAACAAAAGTAGTGAAATATTTGGATTCCTTGGGTACGTAGGGTAGCCACCTGTGAAGAAAGGATTTTTGAAAAAAGTCTGTACAAAGTGCTGTACAAAGCCCGAACGGCAGACAATGGAACTCATAATGCTGATTTGGTTACGGCAAATCGGAGATATTTCTGATGAGTCTGGCAGATCGCAACATGAAGATAGGCATCCGCTAAATCTATGGACTCCATCCGCTGACCCTGTGTCTCCGAGGACAAGATGGCGTTGAGCGATTTCACCTGAAAGGCAGAACTTTTATGTAGGCGTTGAGCCGTTTCAAATCCAATACTCGTCAGAATTTCCCTGATGGTTTTTTTACTAGAAAAATAAGGGAGTAAAAACCCTCTTCCTTTCTCCCTGCGTGGAACTGGCACAATTGCTTTTGCATGAAGCAACTCTTTGATATAACTCTGCAGACACAGAAACTTCTCTTGAGAAGCTGGGACCCTCGTTGCTAGGAAGAAATGCTAGGGGTGGTCTTCTTGCAAATTCTATTTGATAACCGCGTCTAATAATATCCAGGATCCAGCTGTCTGAAATATTTTCCACCCAGACCAACTCAAACAGGGACAATCTTGCCCCCACCATTTCTGGTTGGGCAGGTTCACCTTCAGAACCTCCTTTACGAAGGCTTGGCATCAGCGACTGCTCTGCCCTTGGGAGCCTTATTAAAGGTACTTTGTGATGCTCTCCAGGAAGAGCAAATACATTATTTCCCTGGCCTGTAAGACCTGGCTTCTCTAAACCTGTCTCAGATAAAGCGATAGGAGCGAAAAGACTACCTCTGCCTTTTCCGATCCTGTACCATAATTCCTGATTTGCCTCCAGATATTCGTTTGATAGCTTCCTCCAACATCTTCCCAAAAAGCTTTGTCCTTCAAACGGAATGGCATAGAGACTCTGTTTTGATGCAGAATCCGCCGACCACTGCCTTAGCCACAATACCCTTCTGGAAGTTTATTAATTAAGCCATGACTCGAGAGTCCAATCTTACTTGATCCACCGCTGCGACAAAATATGCAGCTAATTTGAGGTTGGTGAATAATGACACCAGCTCTGAATCTTCGTTCTGCTGCTGTAACTCTAAACGAGACACCCAATTACGGATAGCTCCTGACAGAGGTCAAGGCTACCGCTGATCTACATGGTGTGCCCGCCACTGCATAGATCCTCTTCAAATCTAATTTGACCCTCCTGTCCATAGGATCCTTGAATGAAACTGAGTCATCTAAGGGAAGGGTAATATGACTTGCTTGCCTGTGCAAGGCTGCATCCACTTTAGGTGTCCCACAAATTGCCATCTTGTGGCCGAAAAGGATACAGTTTAGCCATCCTGTTATGGAAGCTTTGCTTCTTGTCAGGCCTGGCCCATTGTTCCTCCATAAGTTCTTTGATTTCAAAGAATAAGAGGGGACAAACTACCTTCTTCATGCCAGTTAATCGCTTCCTTCACTGCTTTAACAAAAGCTGGAACCTTCAAAAATGCAAAGGAAAAAGATGAGTCCTCAAAATCTTCCAGCGACACAAGTGTCAGAGTCTGACACAGGCGCATGAAAAGAGAGACTCCACCTCCTCATCTGACACACCCCAATTTTTTCTGCCCAGCCTTGGATTACCAGCTTGAGATAATTCCCACATGCTCTGTGCCACAGTTTGCTTAATAAGACTTCACCTCGCAAGCCTCTGCCTCTTTATCCTGCGTTACTTCTTTAAAGCAACTGGAACATATTAGCTTGTTAGGCAAAGAAGACCCTTTGCATACACATGCATACATACTCCAATCAGCCATGACATTATGAGACCAATCAAGGCATGCACTCCACTAGACCTCTGAAGGTATGCTGTAGTATCTGGCACCAAGCTGTCAGTAGCAGATCCTTTTACGTCCTGTAAGTTGCAAGGTGGGGCCACATGGATCTGACTTGTTTTTCCAGCACATACCACACATGCTCAATTGGATTGAGATCTGGAGGCCAAATCAACACCTCAAACTTGGCAGGGTGCATTTTCCTGCTGAAAGAGACCACTGTGCTTTTAGGGAAAACTGTTTCCAAGAAAAGGGGTACTTGGTAAGCAACGATGTTTAGGTAGGTAGCACATGTCAAAGTAACATCCACATGAATAGCAGGACCCAAGGTTTTCAAGCAGAAGATTGACCAAAGCATCTTGGTACTATCTCTTCCCCAGATAAGCGTCACACATGCACCTGGCCATACTCGTGATGTAAAAGAAAATATGATTTATCAGACCAGGCCACCTTCTTCCATTGTTCCGTGGCCCAGTTCTGATGCTCATTGTAGGCTCATTGTGGCTGTGCACAGGGGTCAGCATGGGTATCCTGATCGGTCTGCAACTACGTAGCCTCATATGCAAATGCACGGTCTGTGTATACACCTTTTCTATGTATTCTATGTGTGTGTGTGTATATAATTTTATTTATTTTTTATTTTGCAGGAAATGTGTAGTACGTTAAGCAATGGGGAGTTATAGACTTTCTCTATTTTCCCAGCAGATACCCAAGAAAGCCAGGCAATACCTAAAAACGGAAGCGAGTGTCTGCAACTTGTCATATAGGAACTAAGATGGACCAAACTTGTATATTTGTACAATTGAACTTTTACTTCAATAAACCTGTTTTTGTAATTGGCGTATCAGAGATTTATTGGCTGCAGAAAGGTTAAAAATTAGAAAGAGATTCATGGCATCTAATGGCCATATCCAGGCAGATTTCTCACCAAGTTCGGCAGTTTCTCACCGCGAACGTTCGGCAGTTCATTCCCTGCTGTTCACCCCTATTCTCCAAGGGAGCGGGGGGAAAAAAGCGGGGTCCCCCCAAAAGCCAATACCAGACCCTCAATCCGAGCAGCGGCCTGGCAGAGCAGGAAAAGGGGGCGGGTGAGCCTTGGAGCCAAAGCCATACCTGGCTTTTGGGTACCTAAGGGGTCGGGTATGACTTGAGGGGAACCCCTTTTTGTTTTTCTTTTGACATCTGAGGTCCCCCTCCTAACATTCCTACATGAATTGGGGAGGGGACTACTCGCATATATATTAGGAATAATGGTTTATTCTGAAAAATTATAGAAATGAAGGTTAGTGTACATCAGCATCAAAAGCAAAGTAAACGCATTATGCTTTCAGGAAAATTTAGTTTGCAGATGAGATACTAAAATCGGGAGGGTAATAGACACTATAACATTACAGGAGGACCTGGATAAAGTAGGGGAGTGGGCAACTATATGGCAGATGAGGTTTAATGCTGATAAATGTAAAGTAATGCACTTTGGGGGTAAAAATAGGCAGGCGGAATACACATTAATAGGAACTCCACTAGGGAAGTCAGAAATGGAAAAAGATCTGGGGGCTCATTGTAGGCCACAGATTGAATAATAGCTTGCAGTGCCAGGCTGCGGTAAACAAAGCGAGCAGAGTACTGTCTTGTATTAAAAAGGGAATGTACTGTAGAGACAAGTCTATAATTTTGCAACTTTATAGATCGCTAGTTCGACCTCATCTGGAGTATGCGGTCCAGTTTTGGTCACCAGTACACAGAAAGGATGTCCTGGGGATGGAAAGAGTCCAGAGAAGGTCAACTAAACTAATTAAGGGGATGGAGGAACAAAGCTATGGGACAAGGTTACTAAATTTAAATATGTTCACGCTGGAGGTGCGGAGATAAAGGGGGGGGGATATGATTTTGATGTACAAGATGTTTAATGGTGATGGCAACATCAGCAATAAACTTTTTACGGTAAACTCCATAACAAGGACTAGAGGCCACCACCTAAAATTGGTGAAGGAAAGATTTAACCACAAGGGGCGTAGGGTTTTTTTCTCAGTTAGGGTCTGGAACTCACTGCCACAAGCAGTGGTATTGAATCATGAAAAATGCATTTGGACAATTTCCTCAGAGACCGTAACATACAGGGGTACAGATCACACAGGGACTCGTACACACGCATACACATGTAGAATCATAAACATACACACAATAGGTTGAACTCGATGGACCTTTATTCAACCTCAAATACTATGTAACTATGTAAGATACATTAGTGAGTCTTGGTGCTTACCTCATTGACATTTGTAGCGATTTAAAAGCCATGTAAGGAAAAAGCAGCAACAAATGCAAACGGTTTAAATCCAGATTGATCACTGCTCTCCAGTTCCTTTAAAAAAAAAAATCAAAACACAAAAAAGAATTAAAACTTGCTGGTTATTAAGAAACCGTCCACATTTTCCTGAGTGCATAGAACCCCGAGTCCAGATCTGAATGATCATCCCTAACCAGCTGCTTACTACACGTAATGGTTCACAGCCAGGGGTATCGCCTAGGGTCCTAAATGTTATAGGGCATGTAGCACAGCATAAAAAGCAGAACAGGCTGTTTCTGGTCCCCATTTCTTTTGTCCTCATTTCTTGTTTGTTCTCTTCTCTTTTTATCTTTGCTGCTTTTCCTTTCATTTGGTTTTTCCCTTCTTGCTGTACCCCTTAGAATCGAGGCATTAGAGTCTTGGTCCTTTTCTGGTAACAGTCATAGGTCCAATAAAACAGGGCACTCAAAAGGACACCAAATACCTGACAACATCACTTTTATCACTACACCTTTTGTTGCGTTTCCCTACAGAAATAAGCTAATACTTGAAAACACCTTTTACCCGTATTATAGAAATCCCGTCAGGATAGGTAAACAATCATTTGCATAGGGGATAACTGACTTTTGTCCCAATTGACTATCCACCAAATGTTTTGGAGAGTGGTCAGCACTAATTCTCGGTGGCCCTTCAATACCTCGCGGTCCTGGTCTAGCAGAATAACAGTCAAGATAGTGGTGGATTCCCACCCCCTTTTCCCTTAGAAATGCCACCAGGTCTAGTAAGATTTTCGTGAAGACTCTGGAGGATGTCGTCAGCCTTAAGTGGGGGAAGACACAAACTGGAGATGTAATAATGGGCCTACTGCCAATCTCAAAAGCGTTTGAAAATCTCCCCGTACCGGAACAGGAAAGTTAGCATCTTTCAAGTGGTATTGATAGGATCCAATCCCCCAATTGGATCACTTTCAGGATAGTATTTAACGACTCCATCTTGAAGCAATTTTTTAGGATGAACTGGTTCACAAATTGCAGATCTATAACAGGCCTTCAATCTCCTGTCTTTTTATGGACTAAGAGCAACAAGGAATACAGGCCCGTAAAACGTTCCTGTGTCGGAACAGCGGTCACTGCTCCTTGGTTTACCAGGGTCGGTCGTCGCATAAGAAAAAAAATTGCTCTCTTGCTTTCGCTCCATGGAATATCTGTTGGAACAAATCTCGCATGTGGAAGTCTGTGAAATTCCCAAGCATGTCCCTGGAGATAGTTTGCAACACCCATGCATCTGAGATTTTGTCCGCCCAAATCTGTCAAAGTGGATAGTTTTGCCCCTACAAGGCACACCTGGGCAGTCCTCATATCAAAAGGATTTTCCGGCCTCCTGTCCAGCGGTAGAGGTATTACCCTTTGTTATGGTGTAAGAGGCAGAGGACTTCCAAAGCCTACAATATTCTTTACCCTGTTTGTAGGATCTTGCTTCTCTGCTCTGACCCTGCGATGGTCTTTTAAAACATGCATTCCTCTGCCTGAGGAGTCTTCTGTCTTCGGGAATAAATCCCGATCTACCTCCCGTAGCCCTGGCAATTGCTTCATCAAGCTTGTTGCCAAAAAGAGACTTCCCTTCTTGCACCATGCCTGTCTTGACGTGGGGTCTGCTTCACATGGCCTCAACCAAAGCACTCTCCTTCCTGTAACAGAGCTCAACATTATTCTGGCTAATGATCTAACAATGTTGATCGCAGCATCTGCCAAGAAGGCCGATGATAACTTCACATTCATTAGTAAGTCTAAGATCTAAGTTTTACTGAGCTCACTAGACACAGCCGCTTCAATGTTGTTTCCTTGTATCAACTGCCAGTTTTATCCCTCCAAACTCATTATAGTGACATATAAACCAGGGCTTTGACTATAATAATCCATATTCCGTCTTTGTGAGCCATTCCTAGGTGGATGCGCTGGTGTATCTTACTTGAAGTTCCATTTCCAGTTTAACTTTAACTTTCGGATAGACGGTTTTACCTTCTCCCCAGGCACACCTCAATATGATGAAGAATTTGTAGCCGAGCCTGGTTCCAGAAGGTCTTTACTTATTAGTTCAGTTACAAACCGAAGTCCTACTCTAATGTTCTTTTCAGACAGCAACATCTTTTACCTGGCACAGCTCCCATGGAGGTAAATTGCTATAATCCCTTTGATTGTAGATACATGAGCTTTGACACCAATTGTTGCAAGAGTTGTCAGATCCTATGATTCAATTTTGGGGGTTTTGGAGACTTCTTTTAGCATCAAACTGTCAACACAGCCTAAATTTGCTGGGTCAGCCAGTCCTGGACAAAAATATCACTCAAAATCCATTATCACTTGCAGATTATTCTCCATGGAGTAGTAATGGACTTTAAATAGTTTGGTGATCTTTTTGCATCCCTTGCCAGAATTAGGCATCCACAACCCTCTTTCTGAGAGAACTCTATTGATCTTGGCACAATGGCACCACGCCCATCCATGGGGAGAACACCAGACCATAGATATCTGGGGGTAAATAAGACATGTTCCACCTATATACTCCGTAAGAAGGTTCTAACCATTGTCACCTAATCTGGATTCGAATTTCATGGATTTGATGTGATCAATGTAGTGGTGTCCTTAACTTCATTGATTTAGATTTGGAGAATAAATACACCGTGTTAGTTTTGTGTGTCATCGGTCCAAGTATAAAACCCTTATCTGCAGGAACTTTTTGAATGAAGATTTAGTGTATTAAATATATATTTTAACTAAAAACTGCAAGGGGAATTTATCAGAACTAGAGCAGACAGAATCTAAAGCAGATGCCCATGGCAACCAATCGGCATCTCTCCTCAGTTTGCTCAGGTAAGATTTGAAAATGAGACAGAGTAACTGATTGGTTGCAGTGCACATCTGCTCTAGAGTTTGTCTGCTCCAGTTTTGATAAATTCCCCTCTGCGTTAAAAAAAAAAATAAACAGTACTAAATGATAAAAAAAATGGTTTTACTGCAACGTACTAAATTAAATTCCTTTTTATGTCCGTAAAAAGTTTTAAAAAATGTTTCGGTAGGCACATTAGTCATAGAGTTATAGTCAACTTAACTGATATATGCTGACACCACTAAGTGTGAAGTGTAGCATGTGTAGTGTTTGCCCAAAAGAACTGGCTGAAATTTGCTCAGTGCATGGCCAGCTTAAGTTACACTTCTATAACATCGTTTACCAGATCCGCTTCTGCAAAATCTCACTGTCCACATGCTTCTGGTTCCTGCACTCTGCAGCTTTTGGATGAAAGTGGACCTTTCAATAACTTTACAAGTCTATATTAATAAATTCCTGACATATAAAGCAACATCATAATTTCCCTAATAAGGCTGTACCCTTTATCATCAAAATACAGATAACTGGTTCAGCCACATCTGGAGTATGCGGTCCAGTTTTGGTCACCGATACTCAGAAAGGATGTCCTTGAGCTGGAAAAAGTCCAGAGGAGGGCAACCAAACTTATTAAGGGGTTCGAGGACCTGAACTATGAAACAAGGTTGTTAAAATTAAATATGTTCTCTTTGGAGGTTAGGAGATTATGGGGGGACATGATCTTCTTGTATAAACTTCTGTACCCTT